GAGCCCACAGTGGCAGCCCCCCCACCCAGGGCCCTTCCCCTGCCACCAGCTGTGCCGGCCTGAGCAGCATCTATCATTTCTTCTTCCTCTCAGATCCACTTGAGCATCATTTTTTTCTGTTTGCTACCACACTTTGCTCTTCCTTCACTGCTCTGCAGCTCCACGTTGCATCCCAGTTTGCTACATGCATTTACAAATGTTGGATACCATGTGTTTGTTCTCTTTATTTTACCCTTAAACCCAGTTTTACCCAGGTCCAGGTCTCCATTGTTTTAACTGACCATTGGTGACTCGTTACAGGGTCTCCAGTGCTAGGCCTGTGCCCCATCTCTTATCACCCCACACCTGTACTCCTCTACACCACATCCTTGTCTCCATTTCTCAAGGCCACTGATACCGCATCAGGCCTGTCTTCCTCTGTGCTGCATTGCTACGTTACAGCCATAAATGCCTCGTTCTGCACGGAATGGTGGCTTGTTATTGCTATGGTTGTAACACACAAGGATCAAAAAGTAAAACCAATCAGCAATGGACACCTGGTCAGTGAGAGAAACTGCTGCCACAGGTAACCCAAAGAGCACCAAGCTGCCGGCAGGTCAAGAACAGATCAGCCAGAGCAGGCATGACAAACCTCAGCCCTGAGGCCCTGCACGCTCAGCACAAAGCTTATGGCCTGATACCGGCAGTGCTGCGCTGCAGGACGACACGGTGACGCTCCCATCCCAGTGCCCTGCCTACAGTCCTTCCCTTCCTCCAGCTACAGACACACAGTGGGCAAAGGGAGCAAAGCATAAGGCCAAGCCTGGTTAGGGCCAGCAGCTTCACAGATGCATCAGGGCTCCAGTGCAGCTTGGTCTAAATCCTGCATCCGTGGAAATTTTGGGAAAAGAACTGATGTGTAACAGATCAAGCAGACCAGGGAATGTATTGCTTGTTAAGAAATGAGTAGAAAGCTTGCTGCTTGCATTTACTCATAAATACTGGACTAAAATATAGATGAATGCTTCCAATCTTCAAGCATAGTGGGCAGTCCTAGTGATCTTACTGCCCTTGCTCAGGTAGTCTGAAATATCTACTAGTTTTGCATGGCTCTCTTAGCAGGATTTCAATCCTATCTACAAGCACAGTTAGCTTGTTATTTGGTTTCTTTTATTACTTTCACTGTACTGTTCTTGTTTGAAACTTCTTTTTAATAGGAATGAGCAGCTAATAATGATTTTTATACTCTTAAAATCACTAAGATATTGGTCTTTCTACAAGTTCATTTTCAGTTAAATGCAACACAAAAGGCTATAGTTCTCTATGCTTTGTCCAGAGCAGAAATTTACTTTAATTCACAGTAAGTTGCACACATTCACAGCATTGAATCTTTCCTTACAGAGAAAGGTTTGTTTTTTTTAAAAAAAACCCAACACTACAATTAGCTGATAACAATGTATAACAACGTAATGCCATTATAACGTTATAACAGGGTGAAGGGACCAGGTTGCTGTACAGCTAAATCCTGCCAGCGGCAGCAGGGCAGGGCAGAGCAGCCTGTGAGCGGGAGGGCTGGCCTCCTGCACCAGTGGCTCTCCCGGATGATCCTTCCTTCCCCTTTCCTCTCAGCACGTTTTCTTTGGTAAAAAATAAATAGGAAAAAAGCTGTGGTGTGAACTGTTACTCCTCCTCTCCTGGAGATGCCCATCTTCCCTGCAGAAGGGCTCCAGCCAACGCTGCCTAAACCATTTCAGTGTCGGGACAAACCAGTTGCCCTGAACA